TTCTTGTCATTATTGACTTTGAAGTTCTTGAAAAACTTACTAGCTTCGGCAACATTAACCTTAGAGGAATCTATAATCTTGCCCTTGGGATCACGAGACTTAGTCTCTTCTTTGATCCTCAAGTGTTTTTGTAATTCCTCTAAAGTTATGTCATCTCTCCTATGAAGGAGTTTCTTTCTATAATCATTCCAACTTTGAGGCAATTTAGTAATAATTGCCCCCACTTGGAATGATTAAGAAATTTCAACTTTCAATTCACGAAGCTTAGTAACAATGACTTGCAATTCATGCATTTGATCTAGAACGGACTTGGTATCAACCATGACACATTCAAGAAATTTCAAGATGAAGAATTTGTCCGTACCTTCCTTCTTAGTTTTGTACTTGTATTCGAGAGCGTTTTAAATCTCCACCGGAGACTCCATCGAGTTATAAAGATCATAGAGCCTATCGGAGAAAATGTTGAGAGTATGACCCCGACACATGACTTCATCATCTTCACACTTCTTCCTTGCTGCCTTCAAGTCTTTAGAATCATCCTCCTTCGTTTCCGGAAGAGGCTCCAACTTCGGATCAAGCACATAGGAAATCTTGAGCACGGTGAGAAGAAAGAACAACTTTCCTTTCCAGCGGGTGAAATTGGTACCGTCAAATCTATCAAGTTGGGCATTCGGATTGAGGAAAGACGTCATGTTCTTTTCAACCTCCATTACAGCAAGTTAAAACCTTAAAGATTGTTGGAGAAATTTTAGTGTGGAGGGTGAAAAGAATACAGAAACAAGATAGGGTTTGAGGCGTATAGGAATACTTTCTTTTAAGGTTTTATTTGCCCTCACATCTCAAAGTTTGCTAATGAGTTTTAATGGCAAATTACCCCCAAGATACAACAAACCCTTGAATACAATATCTAGCAATAATATTGAGTTTCAGAACATGAAAAAAGTATGTAAATTTTCTAGAGAATTAATAAAGACAGAGGTATCATTTCATGAATGAATGCATCCTCCTTAAACATTACAACCATTCACATAAAGATACCTTTTCAATGTAAAGGTATCTTTTCATGGATTAATACACCTATTACAATAGTTATATCTATTGCTAATTGGTGTTCAGATATGTATGAAAACATATCACCAATGGATGTAATGGTTTGAAACGTTTTAGATCACATAAACTCATGAAAACAGTATTTTCTGCATAATTTCCATTGTAGCAGATGTTTTTTCGCTGCAGCCGCAAATAAACCCGAGACATGCAAACATTTCGGCTGCAGCAGGTTTGGCCGAATCAAAGTAGTTTCTCCAATGCAGCGTTTTGAAGTCCCTTTAACACGAGTTTTCATGTTTTAATACTCAAACAACTTGTAATCTTGATTAAGACATATTACAATCTCTCTAAACACTCATGTGATTATTATACAAAACCATTAATTAAAAATTTTTCTATTCCTCACACACTTATCTTAATTTTTATACCCAAGTATTTTGCAGTTTATTTCGTCATTCCACTTCCTTCTTTCTCACTTTTTCTTTGTTTTTTTTTTTTCCTGAAATTTTTGTTTCGATTTCCTTTGTTACCATCTCTTCAGATCTGAAAATTTTACTCTTCTTATAAAATCCATCAGAACAGAGACTTGAGAAGAAGAAAGAAATTTTATCAAGTTTGTCAAAAATATGATGTTCTTTTATTTTAAACCCAAAGCTGTGATGGGGTAAATTTTGTTGATCAAGCCGTTGTTCTTGAAACAATAATGGTAAAATTTTCAGAAAACACAACCTAAAGAATTTTATTTAAGATTTGTTTAGTTCGCTGATTCGAATTTTTAATTCGAGTTGAAATGTGACTTTATGTGAATGCTTTTTATTGTGGCAAACAAAGTTAGATGTGACTGTTTCTGAAAATTTTTACTGTAGTAAAACTTGAATTCTAAACTCAAATCGGAAAATGAACAGGGTCTTAAACTCTGTCGAAAAACAAAACAAAAAATCTAAAGTACCCTTTAACAACAAATAAATTAGACACTTGACAAAGAAGTAGAAAAAAAAAAAAACTAAATTGAGAATTTTATATTTGAAAAAAAGAAAGAAGAAGCTGAAGTGTTAGACGAAACCAAAAAATGAGCTTGTAAAAGGAACGGATTGATTAGGGGTGGCAATTCGTGTCACGCGTCGTGTTTTGATAATTTATTTTTAAATTTACAGTCAACCGGAACACGACTAGTGACACGAAATTGTTTAAAAACCGCAACACAAACACGACACGACCACTTTACGGGTTGACACGATACGACACGAAAATGACATGTGACACGAAATTGACCCGTGAACCCGAAATTGACATGAAAATTGCATACTTTTATTTAGTTTTTTACATATTAGAAATAACTAAAAATTCATAACACACTAAAATACAATAACATATATTGAAATTAAGTAAATAATAGTGTAAGATTTTGAGTATAACTATGATGATATCATAAGTTCATAATAAAATAAAAAATATGTAATGAAAAATATATGTATTTTTTAGTTTTTTATGAGTTTCGTGTCGTTTTCGGATTAAGTAGGTCTAATCTGAAATTGACTAGTGTTTTTTATATTAATTTCAGGTTGACTCAATTCTGACCCGAATATCTTTTTTCTCAACCCTAGTCTGTGAAATTTGTGTCATTTTTTAATCATATTATCATGCGAAAAATATATGTATTTTTTAGTTTTTTATGAGTTTCGTGTCGTGTTCGGATTAAGTAGGTCTAATTTGAAATTGACTAGTATTTTTTGTATTAATTTCAGATTGACTCAATTCTGACCCGAATATCTTTTTTCTCAACCCTAGTCTGTGAAATTTGTGTCATTTTTTAATCATATTATCATGTCGTGACTCATATTACTATCTCTATAATTAATTTTGAAATTTTGGTTTCACTAGGACCCACTGTAACACTTCAATGTCAACACCTAAGTAGGCAGCCACATCAGTACCACGTCAAGTGGTGAGGCGCACCACAGAAGCAAAGCACCCAAGCTTTACTCGGTAATTTGGGGAAGTAAAGTTGTGGGTTTTTGACAAGTGTCAAATGGCACGCTTGCAACAGATACCAGTTTCCAAAGAAAGCCTCGGAGACTTTTTTTGCTCCGTTTACTTTAGAAAAATTAAATAAATTAATCTGTCAAAGCTTCAAAAAAAAATCTGCTTTTAGGGGAAAAAATATTTCTCGACTTCGCTAATAGAAAAAAATATATTTTTTAAGAAAAATAAACTTACTGCCGGCCAAAAGCAGGAGCTTCAAGTTTCTTTTTCCTCTGTACAAAAAGGTTCTTTACAACAAAAATAGATATATATTTTTGTAAAGATTACACTACATTGTAGATTTATTAGAATGTAGTTAAATATTTATATAAGAATTTTTTAAAAATATTTTAAAAGTCAGAAGTTATATGGTAATTGTTATATTGATATATTCATGTTTATTGTTTATACTATAAAATGACATAACAATTAAATTTTATTAACAATTATTTTTGATGATATTAATTTTGGTTATTTGTAAAGTATTTAAATTTTTCCGTATTTTGACCAGTAATATTTATCATACATCTAACTTTCTTGCCATCTTAAATCTTAAATTTTTAGTGTGGCCATTCAACATGTCCAAGTCCATGTAATTAATGAAAAAAATTAGGTGACGTGTTACAACTTCTCAAATATATACCACGAAATTCATTTTGTTACATGAAAAATGGCATCACCAATCAAATGTGAAACTTATGCCTCATTCGCTTCGTAGATTTGAGCTTTTAATTTGAGTTGAGATGTGACATTTTCAGATTTAAATTTTTAATTCGAGTTAAGATGTGACATTTTTTAAGAGTTTTTATCTGAAGTAAAAATAATTAGATGTGACATTTTCTAAACACTTTTAACTTTTTTAAGAGCTTTTATTTATAATAGAAAAAATTAGATGTTACATTTTTTAAAATATTTTAACACCTAAAACTGAAAACTCAAATCGGTGAAATGAGCATAAATAACTTAATACTTAAATGTGAAACTTAAATAACTTGACCGTGTTTGGAATTGATCCCATTTTTATTTTACGTTTTTTGAAAAAGAAAAAATAAAAACATTTTTAAAACGGCATTTGACGCAATAAAAACAAAAAATAGCTATAAAAATGATTTTTTGGTTTAAAATAAAAAATAATTTTTAATCATTTTTCATTTTTATTTTCTCCTCACTCGAGCAAAAAAGAGAAAAAAACATTAATAAATTTTTTTTATACTAAAAATAATCTGTTAATAAAACTATAAAATGTATTTTTAAAAATAATTTATATCTGAAATTAAAAAATAAAAATCTCGTTTACTTCACGATTTTTATTTTTAATTTAAACTAAAATGTAATATTTTTTAAGAACTTTTAATTATAAAAATATAAAAATTAAAAACTCAAATAAAAAATGAACAAAATAAAAAATGAACAAAATAAAAATAATTTTAAAACGAATTTCAAACACTCAAATGAAATGAACACAATCATTTTAATAGAATTTCAAACACTCAAATGAAATGAACAAAATCATTTTAATAGGCAAATTCCAAACGTTTTCATTTTCATATAAAAATTAAAATCGCACGAGTGCCATTTTCATTAGTGTGGTGGAAGCGGTGCCTAATAAAAAGCTTGTAATGAAAATGAGGAGGGTCGGCCAAAGCGAGCCAACCCTATTGGGTTTACACAAATTATGTCGGCCATATGTCTTGATAGCCATACAGCACTCACCATTTCGAGGGCGAGCGTGGCACATTTAGCCAACCGACCCTTTTAAATTTTACCACTTCCACTACCACCTTTATTTATACTCCTCCTTTCCCTTGCCCATGCCTTTCCTTTCCGATGTGGGACTTTTCAAATTTCTCAATTCAATGGCTAATTTATTAGCTTTTATGCTATTTTTCCTCGTCACTGCCTTCTTCATGAGCATGTTTAGAGCCACGTTGAGAATAGAACCTTTTAGAATATGACCATATTCATGCATAATAGTAATACAAAGGAAGAAAATTATGGGTGTGATAAAGAGTTTTTAATTATGAATTAATGTAACACATAGCCTGTGCTTGAAGGAAATAAGAGTCCTTGTACTTTCTGCCGCTTCCTATGTGAATCCCGTTGCGAATCCAGTCCTCTCTGTGTATCCACGCGTCCCGACCAAAGTCGAGAATTCCAAGAATCTGTCGACAACAGGATAGATGATAATATGAGGAATGTTTTATGATTTTGTTATTAAGTAGCAGGGCAATAACCATACTATCAATGATGTTGATAATAATCACGCGGAAGAATGGATAACAACAATGTACATAAGATGATAGAAGGCTAGAGACTTACCGCTCCACCTTTCCACGATACAAAAGTCGGATTAGTTCTAGACTGCAAAACCTGTTGACCATTGATCAAGGCAGATAATATGTAGTCAGATCAGTTTCCTATTATTCAATGGGTATTAGCTGCATTAGGTGCTTAACAAATTTTATTTCCATCTCTTCATTGAGCAGAAAGAAAAACAAGAAATGATATAATTGAGACAAAGAAGCTAACCTCAACAGTATCAATGGCCTCATTTGAAGGAATTGCATGCAAGACCCTGCAACAAGGAAAAAAAAAAACGTAATAATAATAACAGGACTAAAACAAATGAATGAAACGAGGACAAAATAGGGGAAAAATTAGAAGAGCTTTTAAATAAGTATTTTAGGAAGAGTTGTTTTTAACATGGGCATACAAGGGCCTCAAAAAGATAGTGCTTTAGTTAAAAGTAAGAGTAAAACAAACCTCTCCTCCACAGCAGGAACAAAACCAGCGGTCAGAGCCACGCCACCAATCTACAGGAACAAATTGTAAGCAATTCCATTTAAGAGGTGTTAATAAATATTGAAACTTGCAGTCCAACTTTGTGCCAGAACTTACCAATTGTATGCTACAAAACAATTTCCTTTGGAGTTCAATGCGACCTGTTGAAAGAATGCTACTTGTGATAGCTTCCGCAAGGCCAACTTTCTCTTCTTTCTTTGGTTTGGCCGCAAAAACTGGATAGTTGTCCCACATTGGAAATCCAACATTAAAGCTGTTAGGAAATAGACCATCCGGCATTTCAGTTCTTCTGGGAAAATCCATTTGCCATGTATCTTCCAGCATGTCCTCATAGTCATGAAACCTGGAGAAGTAAACTGATTAAAACCCATGCAACATTTACCCAAGATACTTTTTATCGTGCAAACGGTAACTTGAAAAAAAACTTTTACTAACCACGAGCGGGGTGGTGGAGGATAAACATCTGGAACCAAAAGCATTGGGTAGAACAAACCAATTGGAGGAACCTATTTAAAATGCAGTAACAATAAATCTTCAGACTGAAAAATATATTTTGGAAGATAGAGGCAAGAACACTTCATAAAAATGGGACCCACGTTGAGAGCAGTCAGTCTTGTCTTATGAGATCCTGCTGGCATCTTATCTTCGTAAGAATGAACAACAGCAACAGCATCAAGTTCCCCCTCCTGCCATAGGCAGCTCAACGAATTAGTTGGCTAGAACTGAGAAGCAAACCTCTTGACCAACATGTAGCAAGTCTTTAAGCATGCATATAACATCAGTAAGGAAGATAAGATGCATGTAAATAATAGGACGAGCTCGTCTATTATTTACAACTACCCCACCTGTGGGAAATAACCGCATTATCTTTAACATTATCTTCTAGAAGCAAGAATTCTCCTAAGGATTATGACCGGCTAGGGCTAGGGATCATGTGATTATCTATTTTCTAGATTCTAGGTGATCGGCTAACAACAGAATTAGGGATAAGTTCTTTTCTCCAATGAGTTTATCTAACTCGTGTATATATAGCCCTTTAGTGGCTTCTGAAAATTATTGGAATTAATAAAATATTTTTTCCTCATTCTTTTCCACATGGTATCAAAGCCATAGGGCTTTTTTCTAGAAATAAATCCTTCTTTTCCTCCGCCTTCATAGCCGAATTTCTCTGATTTTTTTTCCTCGGCCTTCATAGCCGAATTTCTCTAAATTGCCTTCATCGCAGTTCCCTCTTTTCCCATTACAGTTTTTTCTTCCGCAATTTTTTTTTTCCTGAATTTGCCTTTTCTTTGCGGATTACCCTCTTTTCTGTTTCCTGTTTTGCGGATTACCCTCTTTCTTGTGATCCCACATCCGAATAAATTCAGAGATGTTAGAAACAACCTCTTCAACTCCCTTGGTTCAAGCAACCCAATAGCATGAGGAAGAAGAGATTCAGCGTTCTTCAAGCGAATTCCAGAATATACAGACAGCCTATAGACTCAATGGCAGAAACTACCTGAAATGGTCCCAATTGGTTCGGACTTTTCTAAAGGGAAAAGGAAAATTAAGTCACTTAATTGGGACTGTACTGAAGGAAGGAGATGCTAGATTCGAAGTCTAGGATGAAGAGGATTCCATGATCATGTCTTGGTTGTGGAATTCCATGACACCCAAAATCAGCGACACATTCATGTTTTTGCCAACCGCAAAGGCGATTTGAGATGCTGCACATGGAACCTACTCTAAAGTTCGTGATGCAGCTTTGATTTACGAATTAAGATCAAAACAGCGGTAGCCAAATAGGGAAGTAAAACTGTAACAGAATACGCTAATTTTCTGCAAAACCAGTGGCAAGAACTAGATTATTATAGGGTAATTGACTTGAAGTGCAGTGACTGTGCGGGGCAGTGAAAAGATTCATAGAAAGAGATCGAGTTTATGACTTTCTTGCAGGTTTAAACTCATAATTTGATCTTATACGAATCCAGATCCTAGGGAAGTTGGAAATCCCATCCTTGGAAGAGGCAATAGCTTTAATCCGGACTGAGGAAAGTCGAAGAGGAGTGATGCTTGAACCTGAAGCAGTTGATGGATTTGCACTCGCAACCTCTAGTAACAAACAGCAAGGTCTCATCTTGGAACAACCACAAAAAGTTGAACCTGGAAAAACAGAGGATAAAAAGGGAGCAAATCGAGAAGATCTCTGGTCTACCTACTGTAAAAAGCCACGACATACAAGAGAGCGCTGCTGGAAATTACATGGAAAACCTTCAACAACTAGCCGTGAATGGGGAAATAAAGGAGGACAGCAGCAACGACAACAAGGCGAAGCATATAAGACCTCCCAAGTAAGTCAAGATCAAGCTCAAACTCAAGACCATAGCGGGTTGAATGATGAAGAGATAGAAAAATTGAGGTACTTGTTGGGAACCCTTGAGAAACCATCCTCCAACACTTGCTCTTTGGCACTCTCGGGTAAGCACTCATTCTCTTGTGGACTAAATGCTTCAGATAAATTGTTTGTGAATTCATGGATTTTAGACTCGGGAGCTACGGATCATATGACACATGTCTCAAACCAATTCAAAACTTACACCCCGTGTCCAAGTAATAGAAAAATTACGATTGCCGATGAAACCACACCACAGTAGCCGGGGCAGGGGATGTCCATATCGCACCTAGTCTTATCCTAAAAAATGTTTTACATGTCCCAAAACTGTCCACCAACCTTGTGTCTATTCAAAAGCTTATAAAAGACTTACATTGCCATGTTATGTTTTACCCTTCTTATTGTGAGTTTCAGGATCAGGATTCGGGGAAGAAGATTGGACGTGCTAAGGAAAAGGATGGACTCTATTACCTTGAGACGTCGAATTTTTCACATATGATCAGGAAGAGCCTAACATCCTCATTTTTTTCTTCCTCCAAAAGGGATCTCATTTGGTTGCACCACTACCGCCTTGGCCAGCCTTCTTTTGCAGTTTTAAAAATTATGTTTCCTTCTTTATTTAGGGGATTTGATATTAGGGGATTTCATTGTGACATTTGTGAGTATGCAAATCACACTCGTGTTTCCTTTCCTATTAGTAATAAAAGATGTTCTTCTCCTTTCTATCTAATCCACAGTGATATCTGGAGCCCTTCCACTACTCCAAATATCTCCGGTTCACGTTGGTTTGTGTCCTTTATCGATGATTGTACTAGAGTTACCTGGATCTTTTTGCTCAAAAAATAAATCCAATGTGAGTAACATCTTTCCCAATTTCCACTCGATGATTCAAAATCAGTTTGGTACTAAAATAAAGAGATTTAGGTCTGACAACGCAAAAGACTACTTTAATCAGTTATTGTCTCCTTTTTTCCAAAAAGAAGGAATCATCAATGAGTCATCTTGCGTAAAAACTCCACAACAAAACGGGGTTGCAGAAAGAAAAAATGGTCACCTCCTAAACACTACCCGGGCACTTTTGTTTCATCAAAACGTACCAAAACACTATGGGGAGGAAGCCGTTCTTACCGCTGCCTATATCATAAACCGAATTCCTTCAAGGGTTTTAGGGTCAAAAAGTCCAATGGAAGCTCTTTTTAAATTCTATCCTGACATCAATACAACCAACAACCTTACAGCTATAATTTTTTGCTGCACTTCATTTGTTCATGTCCATAACAATAATCGGGGAAAATTGGATCCTAGAGCTCTCAAAAGTGTCTTTGTAGGATACTCTTCCACACAAAAAGGGTACAAATGCTATCAACCACCCCCCAAAAAGCTCTTGTCTCAGCCGATGTCACATTTGCATAAGAGAAACCATATTTTGCTCAACCTTATCTTCAGGGGGAGCCTTCTATTATAGAAGATAAGGATTCTTTCCTTCTTGATCTACCATCCTCTTCGTCATCCCATCCTCCCACTCCTAAACTTGTGGAATCCGCAGCACCCTCAAAACTTGCCACAGCCTCCCCAGTACCATTTGTGTCTCCTATACAGGATAAGACTCTTGATCATATACGCTTTGGAAAAGGAAAGACGTACTCAAGGAAACGGGGCCCAGCCTTTGAATCTACACAAGTCCAAATCTCCAACCCGACTCTTGAGAATGAGGTAACAGTTTCTTAACCTACTTTGCCTTTACTGGTAGAACACCCACCTTCATCTCCTGACCTTCAAACACTTAACCAAGAATTGCCTATAGCTACAAGCAAAGGAACCCGCGAATGTACCAAGAGGCCATTATACCCACTATATCATTTTGTATCCTTTGAGAGGTTTTCACCATCACATAAAAGCTTTCTTACGAGTCTAAATGAAATTGCTATTCCAAACACTTTGTCTGAGGCATTATCTAAGTAAGAATGGCAATAAGCTATGGGAGTGGAAATGGATGCTCTGGAAAAAAAGGGAACATGGGAGATAGTGGACCTTCCGAGAGGAAAGAAAGCAGTGGGGTGCAAATGGGTATTTTCTTTAAAATTCAAGGCAGATGAGTCATTAGAGCGCTACAAAGCAAGACTAGTTGCCAAAGGATACACTCAGACATATGGGGTGGATTATCAAGAGACTTTCGCGCCAGTCGCAAAAATGAACACAGTGAGGATCTTATTGTCATTGGCAGCCAATTATAACTGGGACCACAACAGTATGATGTGAAGAATACATTCCTTCACGGGGACTTGGAAGAGGAAATTTATATGACCATTCCCCCTGGGTTCAGAGGAGTTGAGATAAAGTATGAAAGTTAAAGAAAGCATTGTATGGTTTAAAACAGTCACCCATTGCTTAGTTTGGAAGATTCACCAAAGTGATGCTAGCCACTGGATATAAGCAAAGTCAGGGAGACCACACCCTCTTCATCAAACACTCAGATTCAGGGGGAGTCACAGTCTTGATAGTCTATGTGGACGACATTATTGTAACAAGAAATTATGTGAGGGAGAAACAAGCTTTGAAGTAGCGCCTGATCAAAGAGTTCGAGATTAAGGAATTGGGAAGGTTGAAATACTTTCTTGGGATTGAGGTGGCACATTCAAGACATGGCATCTTCATTTCACAACAGAATTATGTCATGGATCTTCTTAGAGAAACAGGAATGCTCGCTAGTAAACCAGTCGCAACTCCTATAGAGGCGAACCATAAACTTGGAGAAGCCACAGGTGATCAAAGAGTGGACAGAGAAACGTACCAAAGACTAGTTGTGAACTCATTTATCTTGCACATACCCGGTCGGACATAGCATATTCCATAAGCATCATCAGTCCATTCATGTATAATCCCAAGAAGGTCCATCTACAAGCAGCCTACCGAGTGCCTCATTACCTAAAGGCTAACCCAGGAAAGGGAATAATGTTCAAGAGGAACTCTGAACTTGTCCTTGAGGCTTACACGGATGTAGATTATGCAGGATCTCCCATGGATCGAAGGTCTATCTCCAGATATTGTACAGTCCTTGGAGGCAACTTGGTGACATGGAGAAGTAAGAAAAAATGTTGTAGCTCGATCAAGTGCAGAAATTGAGTTTAGGGCAATGGCACAGGTGATCTGCGAATTGTTATGGCTGAAGATCATATTGGAGGACTTGAAGATTAAATGGAGTGGGCCGACGAGACTCCACTGCGATAATAAATCAGCAATCAGCATTGCACATAATCCAGTGCAACATGACCGAACAAAACACGTCGAGGTGGACCAACACTTCATCAAGGAGAAGCTAGATAGTGGATTGATCTGCACACCATATGTTCCCACAGGAGATCAACTAGCAGATATCTTCACCAAAGGGCTTAATAGTACTACCTTCTAAGAAATTACAACCAAGCTGGGAATGGGAGACACCTATTCACCAGCTTGAGGGGGAGTGTGGGAAATAACCGTATTATCTTTAACATTATCTTCTAGAAGCAAGCATTATCTCCCAAGGATTATGACCGGCTAGGGCTAGGGATCATGTGATTATCTATTTCCTAGATTCTAGGTGATCAGCTAACAACAGAATTAGGGATAAGTTCTTTTCTCCAATGAGTTTATCTAACTCGTGTATAAAATATTATTAGCAGACGATCATCATCACCTAGATCCATAATCACGGGAATGGAGGTTAAGAGTACCATGGTTATGGTTCAAATGTGACATAGAAAGAACTCACTTTAATTTCACAATACGACTCTTTTAGCCTGTTAAGCATCAGGAGGTCTATAGGTTTGGACAAAACATCAGTACGTATCTGTGGCCATGTCTGATGGTGCCTTTGAGTCCAAAGAAGGCATCTCGATATATCCTGTAACAGTATACTCTTGAGTTGTGACTTGACCACATTAAAAAAAAAAAAGATGGAACTACAAAATCATGAACGCGTAATTGAGAGTAAATAAGAATAACTCCTAAAGTGGTTATTATTATTATTATTATTATCATTATATGAAACAAACCTCTCCACCAAAAGGCAAAGTCTTCTCAGTAGTAGGCATAGCCACTCCATCCTGAACAGCAAAAGAGAGTGATTAACCCTCATTTCCTATTTTCTGTTTTTCACCTTTCTACATATAAAGCTATGAAAGGGCACTTCTATTGTTATTGAAAAGAAAGATTTTTCTAAAAGGGTGGTAATGATGACAAAGAAGGGAACTACAAGTGTGCTTTTACGTTCTAGCCAAAAATAGGATCAACAAAAAGATGGTTCTAGAATTCATAACAATTAAAAGTAATCAAGTTATAATTGGTGATGGAACGTGGAAGCAGTTAATGAAAAAGAGGTATTGGGGAACATTGACAGAGCAGCGGCACATAGGTGTTAACAGTTGCTTGTAGAGATCCAAGGGACATTGTTGAAGGTAAGAGTGGTTTGGGAGACAAAATCAGTGGGCCTGTAATAAACCTTGTGATGGCCAATAGTGGAATCAGAATGATGTTGATAATGGCCGTAGGTTGCAGTTTCTATGGTTATGGTAGTGTAAGGAACACGTGAAAATAGCTATCTACTTTTGTCTTTATTTTTGCTTAACAAGAAGTAAACTTAGTCCTTTACTAAAAAGATTATTCAGGTTGAGTGCCAAAACATGAACTTTTGATTTAGTTTTATTCTCTCTTTTTCAAAAGGAAAGGAAAAAGTCCTGGTATAGTATGAACCAAATCCAACACTCAGCACAAAACTTTGAATATTATCATAATCTATACTAGTACAAGAAGCAATAAAGAAATAAATATTACCTCGACACAAATAACTGATGCTACTTGAGCACCTATGTTTACAACACATGCGGTGGATAACCCATTCCCAAAAACTGCAGCTAGACCTTCCTGCATCACTCAATTCAGAGTAAGATGATAAACGCTAGTGCTTATCATAAAGGATGCTGTTCATCAATCAAATGATGGGCTGAAGCCCAGTAAATCTGATCCCTGCAACAAGAACTTAACCAAAATCAAGATCTAAGACTATCAACAAAAAGTTCCTCACCTGGTGCACTACTGCTGAGCTAAAGTGCAAGTCTCGCAAGACTATAGACAGCATCTCTTTTATCTCTGCTTTAAACAAATGACAAACAGAAATCACAACTTCTTCAATCAGGGTGACAAAATAAGCACATGTTAAACCATAAAATAGGCAAAGACAGAAAAAATAACAAGAGAAGGTATATGTCCCAAAAGCATTAAAACCAACACTACTACATACACACGTGTATGTATGTATTTTTATTTCATTATAATTTTTTAACCTCGGGTGGGAATTAGTAATATGTCAGGATGTGAGATGAATAAGATGCAAAGCATAGAAATAGTAGTGATAAGGGTTTATCTTCGTAGTCACATTAAGATGGTTAGCTTAATCATGTTACTTGTAAGTACCTCGATTATCAAATGTCTCCGGAACAACCAGAATTGCAGCATACTTGATTCTCTTTGATAGAGGGATATGCAATTTCTCTATCAAAATCCAGTCCCAGATAGCATGCAAGTCCTCGAGTACCTGTAATTAACATTAAAAGTAAACAAACAGATGCATAAGGTGAGAATAACTAGTCATAGGCTATTTCATGCAGTATGAAGGAATGCAATACAAATTAGTCAGGCAACATATATACACATTTTGATAAGTGAATGTTTGGGCATTCATATATGTATATATGTCATCAATTTGAAGTGATATAGTACTTCTGCATCCATCAAACTTCCCAAGACTGGAATTGAGAATAAGCAATATGCTTGGTGTTGATAACGAAGTAAACCTCTATTTTATCTCTTGGAAAACTGAATAAAATCAATCTGTACCTGTTGCATCGGATAATGTTGTGAAATATTGAGGTGACCCCTGCGTATAGGACGGCGCAAGCAATAGGGCTCCGCAGGGGATATTCTTACGGCTTCCTCACCGTAAATTGATTGTTTGAGTTTAGGTTCATTGGAGCTAGGCTCTTGAGAATCAGCACCTTGATGTTGGCCCCCAGATTCATTATCCACACCTTTACACACCAAAGTATCTTCAGAACAAAAACACCACTTTAACAAATTGCAAACTTAAACTAAATAATAATAGTCTGTAACAAAGATCCATTGAATCCACAGTGAACAAGGTTCATGGTTACTTCAAAATCCATGCTAAAGCACCCATCTACATTAATCAGCCAAATTTTTTGAAAGAACGAATTAAACAAACTCATGAAAGTGCACTATGTCGATTTTTTCTTTAGACACTCCATGGACATACTAACAAAAACATAAATTTCTAATAGTACGCCCAGATGAGAAGAGATTAAAGCAATGATGTAAAACCGAGCAAATTAGAGAGACTCCTCTACAACCTGTCGCTGAAGAGGAAGCAGCATTCTTCTCGTATACATCCGTCCACACAAATGCAGACTCCTTCCTGCTATTCTGTGGATTAAATCCATCAACACGCACCATCTGCAAAACAGCTTTGCAATTATACCTTCTTTTTTTTTTTTTTCCTTTCTTCCTCTCATAAACAATTGCAAACATCAAAAACAATAACCAAAGACTTCATTTCACATTCATTTAGGAAAAGATTCCATCACAAGAATTTGGAAACCTATCTGAATAACCGAAATAAAATGACCAATCCTAATTCATACCTTGCGCGGCAAGGCATTGTTGGCTACCTTTTCATCCAAGAACGGTATCTTCAACAAGGACGCGGCCTTCAAAACAGCAAAAAATAAATAAATAAATCAAATCAAATCAAATCAGATATCACTCTATAAAGAACAAGGTAAATATTAATCAACCAAGAATGTGCCTTGACTCAATAACTCACAACATCATAAGCCCTTTCTCTCTCCATATGCTGCACTGTAGTGATCTGAGAATTGAGCACCTAAAATCCCAAAATAAATAAATAAATAAAATAAAATAAAAATTACCCAAGTTAAACATAAACTCAATTAACATCATTATCAAAAAAATCATGAAAAAATAATTTTTTTTTAAAAAAAAAACCTGATCTTGGACGTTTCTCTTGGGGACTTGGGTGGTATAACGAGCAATGCAATGAGGGATATTGAAAGGGGCGTCCTGCGAAGCAAGGCCAATTCTGACATTCGCCGAACCTGGGCGTAACAGAGAAGAAAATAACCAAATTAAAGTGTTACAAAACACCAAAAGAAAAGTAAAGTTTCCTTCTTCTTTTTTTTGTTGTTGATGAATTAGAGAAAGAGAAGAATTGAATTAAGAACCTGGATTGATTACGACTAAATTGGAGCCTTGTTCCAAGATGAGCTGCGAAGGAACGACGGATTTTAGGTAATCCTGGATCAAACACAGCGAAATCGTCAACTTATGGATTAAGGACGAGCGGAAAAGAGAGAGATTGATGGAGGAGTTTGTGGGTTTCTTACCATTTTTAAGAAGGAGATTGGAATTGGGAAAAAATGGGGAATTGAAAGCTCTTTTGCTTGGTTTCTGGTCTTCTCTTTGCTTGGGTTTTGGTCAGTGAGGGTTAGTATCTGAATCTGATATTGTCGTTTGCGTTTTTTGAGTGCAGTCATGAGCTATGGAAGATATGTTGATTATTTGCCGAGTGAAGTACTAATCAACTGATGTAAGTTTCAGGAACATGGCTGGGCTTTGGAGAGACTTTCCCGGGATTTCATTTTTCTAATTTTTTTATTATTTTAATGAAAGGATTATTGTTTTTTTTTTTTCCTTTTATTATTAGAGATTTTTAATTGAATTATTTTCGTAAATGTCTTTTGAAATATATATTTTATTTTAAAATATTTCTTAATTTTTTAAAACAGTTTAAAATTTTTTTTATTTATAAAAAAATATATTAAAGCACCCTCGTGTCTATTTTTGTGTATAATTTAACAGATTTTGTTGACGTTTAATTTTTAATTCTATTTAGATTAAAATGACAAAAACTTGACGTTTAATTTTTAATTCTATTTAGATTAAAATGACAAAAACAAATACGGATATTATATCACTTTTGATTTAAGAGTCGTTTAATTTGTTGATTAAATTTTTAATTTGAATTGAGACGTAATTTTATGTAAAAAAATTTTATTATAATAAAAAAATTAAATGTGACTGTTTTTTAAATTTTTTATTGTAATAAAATTTAAATCGGTGAAATAAACGATTTTTAAATACACCAAACTGGTCTAAGTACACTAAATCTCAGCCATTAATTTAAATTCATTAAAAAAAACTAGAAATTAATCTTCTCTAATGGTGATCACCAAAGACGACCCCTCTCCTTATCCCAGCCGCCGGCAAGCCTTCCCCCACCGATCCACCAAACCTCATCCATCTTTCTCTCTCTCTCTCTCTCTCTCTATCTTATCTTCCATCTTCTCAGAGCTTCTCTCTTTCATCTTCCATCTTATCAAAAGCACAAATATTTTTTTCCTTTGTATTCTTTTTTCTTTTGGTGTAAAAATGGCAAATGAAATGAAAGATTACATGGGTCCATGAGAAATTGGGGTAAAGGTGCACTAGCTCGTTTGATATCTCACTAAAATATTAATGTCTCGTTCATTTTAACGATTTGAATTTAAAATTTGAGTTTTGTTATAGTAAAAAAGTTTTTAAAAACAGTCATATTTAATTTTTTTATTATAATAAAAAACTCTCACATAAAGTCACATCTTAACTCGAATCAATGAACAAAATGAGCCCCAAATAATTTCACAAAGTTAGACCCCATCATCGAAGAGGGCTCTCATGAAGGTTTTGAAGTTTCTCAAAAGAGGCATCTGTTTTTCTTCCTCTGCTTTTCTTTGCTGTTCGAACAACAAGAAATGTGTATTTGTTTTTTTATCTTCAATTCTTCTTAAAGATTGATGAGCATTGATGTTGTTTTTTCAACTTATATTGTTGGGCTATGTTCGTTTGACTGTATGAGAATATTATTGTATAATAATATAATAATATTATATTTATTGTGATTATTATATTGTATAAATAAATATGGATGGTAAATTAATATAATTTATATCGTATCATTAAATATAACTTATTTTTAGTATATTATATTATATTATTTTATAATAAATCAATAATTTATGTTAAAATTGGGCAAAACTAAATGTCGGAGTTGGCCAATATAAGGTAATGCTAGAGTCTATAATTGTAAAAATTTAAGGGCACAATATAAGTTTTTTATTTTTTTAAAAATTACATTTTGACCCTAAATTTTTATAAAATTATATTTTAACCCAAAAACTTTTGTAAAATTATATTTTGACCCTAAAATTTTTATTAAATTTCATTTTGACCCCAAAACTTTTGAAAAATTATATTTTGGCCCTAAAATTTTTCAAAATTTACATTTTGATCTCAAAAACTTTTGTAAAATTATATTTTGACCCTAAAATTTTTATTAAATTTTATTTTGACCCCAAAACTTTTGAAAAATTATATTTTGGCCCTAAAATTTTTCAAAATTTACATTTTGATCCCAACATTATTAAAAATTTACATTTGACCCGTCATATAATACGTCATGATACCAAACATCATATAATATATGATAATACAACACAATACAATATCCCTAATACAATACAATACAAGCTACCCCTTGAGGATCTCACAAGATGTTGGGGATCTCATGGGAGTGATGGGTTCGATGGATGGGGGAATGGGCGATTAGCTATGATGGGTGCAACGAGATCTAATGAGAGAAAGGCTTGGTGTGATGGGATCTCACGGATGCGATACATTCGCTGAGGGGAAGGGTTGTTGCCGGCCGGCGGTGTGGAGGCTGGGACAGTGCAGGGAGATAGGATATTTCATAGGTTTTTTTTTTTATTTTTTTTTAACAATTTTCTAGTAATTAATTCAGTTTTTAGGTATTAATTCATTTTTTTCATTTTAATTAGGTTTTAATATTTTAATATTAGTTTCACGTTAGCAAAATCCGTCAGATTATATACGGAAGTGGATGAAAGGAGCGTTTTGATTTCTTTTCTATAGATCGGGTGATGTTTTGAACTATTTTAACAAATTAAGGGGCATTTTGAAATAAGATACATAATTCAAGAAGTATTTATGAAAATAATCCTTTTCAATTATATTGAGGTGAATAACCACCGTTGTGGTCGCTGTATAGAGGTGAAAAACAATTTAGGGTCCTATTTCTTATCATTTACGAATAGATTCTCATTGTTCATTGTGCTCAAATATAGTTTGGGTTGATGTGATTTTAAATTCTCCGAATGCTAATTAACAAAAATGTAGTTTATTTCTATTTCACTTGTAATTCTAGTAGATTATCAATTAACTACTGGGTGAGAGTGTGAAAACGCCACTCATCCCTTTTTAATTGAGCAACAATTATTGAGATGAATAACTTAACTGCTTAATTGCAAAAATCGTTACAACTGCAAATAATCAAAACACATTGTATATATTCAATAACATATTTTCTTAAAATACCTATCAATATTTTTTCTAAACAAAACTAATTAATATTGCCCCAAAGGAAATACCTAAGTAATACTTTTACTTATAACTATTATAATTTTTTATGGGGGTCAGAAAATATTTTTAGGGCTTTAGTTATCTAAAATTTTGACCAAATTAATAATATGATAAATATTGTAAGTCTCATATATTTCATTTACTATTTTTTATTCAAAATTCACACAAGATAAAATATGTTATGTGGCATTTTAATTAACAGAACATGTTATTGTGCGTCATTTGTGCAATATGGACACCTTCAATAAGAATCTTACATTGCATGTAGTTGATGTAAATAACAAAACAATTACTCTTCATCCAAGTTTCCTTTTTGAGTAATTGCATGTGGTCATATCTATTTGGATTAATTTAAAAAATTCCCCCTGCACTATGCCATTGTAACACTTTGTCTCTTAAATTTCAAAACGTAACATCCGCTCCCCCCAAACTTTATTCCGATAATAATTTACCCATTCCGTTACACTGAGTGACAGAATTCGCCACGTGTCCATTTTTAGTGAGATTTAAAAGTAAAATTACGCTTATACCCATCTTTGTTCAGAATTACTAGTAACGGAAAGGGCATTATTGCATCAATTTATCCAAAATTAGATCTCATTATTCCTCTAAAAAATCATATTCTAAGGGAACTATTGAAGACAAACCCTAACAACATGAGAAGAACTACTGAAGACAAATTGACCCATGCCACCAAAGAGGTTGGAAATTGCAGAGAAATAAGGAGCCAGAGCACCCTATGTCAGCGTGTGAGTCCACGCGTAGGTGCCATCAACTATAACCTTGGCATGCACTCCCCCGAAAGGGACGCATCACCATAGGGATAAAAAAGCCTCCAAGATGTAGCTCTTCCAGAGCTCCTACACATCTCATGCTAGTAAAACCACTATCGACATTGAGTATCCACCAACAAATGCCATCCTTTCCTAACTCTGTCTCAACGAGGGAAATGAACCCTAAAAGTAATAGAGTCACAAAAGACAACACACTGAGAAGGACAGTCAAAAAGTTGGTGGCCCCCTCCTCCACTTCGCCAAAACCCAACTCATCCAACCACGAGCTGTGCTTGCCTCTAGATTCTCATCGTGAAATGCTTTTGGAGCAAATCTTAATTTTTTTTTTAAATAACCTGATAAATTGATGCATTTTAATCCTTTTTTTAATTACCTAGGGTTTTTACAGGATATTTTACGATATTACCCTACTCATATGGGTTAAATAATGGACACGTTACAAAATTCGTCACTCAGTGTAACAGAATGGGTAAAATTGTTAACGGAACAAAGGTCAGGAGAAGCGGATGTTACGTTTTGAAACTCGGGAGGCAAAGTGTTACATGGGTCATAGTTCAGAGGAAATTTTTGAAATTAATCCTATCTATTTTGTTTAGAGAATTTGCACATACGAAGTTACTACTTGACTTTGCAATTTTCTTGGCTTTTAACAACTTTTATGTTCACAAGCAACTGACAAAATTATCTATCTGCATTATGGCTGTTTCAGGTTGCCATTCAACCTTGGTCTGATTGTAGTCACCCTGCAAAGAGACGAAGTTAGCAAACTCTTGCCTGATCATGGCAAAACACTCTTTATATGCACACTTAACACCTAAATATTTTCACTCTCCGTTCATTTCACTAGTTTGAATCACAACTCAAGTCTTTACTACAACGTTTTCTCTCATAAAAAGTTAAATTCAACTTTTTCGACTACAGTGACTTCTCTTACATAAATTCACTTTTTAACTCAAGTTCTAAACTCGAACGAGCGAAAGAAACGATTATCTACTCGATAGCAAATAGCAATCCCAACAAGATTGAACAAGGTTTTCCTTGCAAGGACATACATGAACCAAAATGCATCCGCTATTATCAATAAAGAGAAGGCATTGAAGCTTAAAGCTTTATATGAATTTCTATTCAAGAAAAAATTCCTCTTTTTCTTCTCTCTAAATAATCCGGTTGTAGAAAACGTATATCTGATCCCAGAACAGGGAGTAAGAAAATAACAAATCCTAAAAAAGAAAACATTACAAAAGTAGAAAATGAGTGATCAACATCCAGCAGTAATTTTGCTGCTGCAGGAGCAGCCACTTCCGAACCTAAAAATCGCAACACCCCTGAAAACAATCCAATGATCTATTGCCTCTTTGCTGCACCTAGTTTGTCTTGGATTTTGGAGCCTTCTTCTTGATTTGCCTTTTTGGAATGGAGTTCTTCATCCCAATGAAGAAAAGTAGTGCACCAAAAAGTGCCACATTCTGCCCAAAAAGAAAATATGATATTGCAAATTCGATTAGCTACATTTCCCAAAGAAAAAGGCAGAGAACTTATCAAGCATAAAGTTATTCAAACCTGCAAGAAATCATTCAAAAGCACACCAAATGCGTCCTTCTCGGGACTGTAGCTGTAGAAATCATACAGAATAGGAGTAACCAGTGCCAAGTAGAAAAGCTGAAGGGAGAAACAATGATCAGTTTTCATGACTAGAGCTAAAACACAAGATTCACTTCCGAAACCTTTGAATTCTAAAGCAACCAACCGAAAAATTCATAAGAAAAGGGAATTCTAACCAGGATATAAGCTCCGAATGAGCTTCCAAATACAAAGAGGATGCCTCCAAGCGCTTTTGAGGTAATAACAGTTGCCACTAGTTGTCTAGGCTGTATGTTATATATCCAAAGTAGAAGCAAGTTCAGACAAGGAGCAAAATGAGAGCCTAGCAAGATAAAGCCAATAGAGAGCAAAAGGATCTTACATCAATATTTGGTAACGCAACCCCTAGATTGGATGAGAGGTTTTTGTTGAAGACATTAAATTTAGGAACCAACTCCTTTGCAGCCGGCCCCCCATTGTCACCAAATTCATTGAACCTAAGCACGTAGATGGAGTGTTAAAAAAATGCTATCATCTACACCAGCTGCATTTATATATTGGAATAGAAGCTTAATATCTAATGACTACATCGGTTTTTTATTTATGTATTTCCTCGAATCTTTTAATAACTAATGACTACATCAGTTTTTTATTTATGTATTTCCTCGAATCTTTTCATCCTTGTAAGCGTCTAATAATATCATATTCTGACTGATGCTCACCAAGAAAAAACTTATCCACATCTCCAGCCAATCCAGTAGTGATTAAAAAAAAAAAAAGCAACAAAGAAACCTACTAAGTGATGTATAATAGTTGGTTTCCCTTCACATTTTTCCATTCATGCGGTGTTGAAAACAATAGAAATACTTCACATCTTGTGTGAAAGGATATATGAAGAATGACGATAAAAGTAATTAAAGAGAAAAGGGTGCAAATGTAAAGGTTCCAACATGCAATCTTGGCTGAATTAACATTTAACACCATCAGAAGGATCGGAATTCTTTATAACACGATGCTTGCAATCAAAATAGAAACAATTTGACACTAAATAAACCACAGAAGAGAGCTTTATCCCAAACCGAGTACCTACTAATTATACTATTATTACATAAATGGTCATGGACCATATTAGTACCGCCTAAACCAAATTAATAATTAAATACAGAATCTACCCTCTTAAGTTCACCTGAAAAAAGTTGTTTTCATATCATATTACATTAATTAAGACGTTAAAAACATCAATAAATCTTCATAATTCAACAACCTTTTTACCCAACAAACTGAAATTCAAAAACGACCCAAAAACTGTATGTACTTGTAATAAAAACGCATCCAGAACAATTTCACAAGTAAGAAATTTCTTCCGAAGTGCCACAACAACAATTTCAAATAACAGAAGAAAAGGGGGAACTTCCAATAAAATTACCATTTTGAAACGATAAGAGAATTCCAAAATCAGCCATACTTTGACAATGAAACTAGATCTAATTCACGCGAAAAAAAATCCTATAACAGATCGAATCTAAATTCCATTACGCAAATACAAATCAAAATTCGAACTCTACTTTCATTCCGATGAGCTAAATGTACCAATCACATAACATTCTGATCATTTAATGAAATCCAACAAAAGAACGAAACCAAAACTGAGCCATTGCATAAATGAAACGATGGAAAAGAAACGTAAATCGACATCGAAACCCTAAATGGACAGATCGGAGAAAAAGCAAAGAGATAGAAAGCTTACGCTTGCCAAGCGGAGAGGATGAAGAGCGAAGCGAAGAGGACCCGTCCAAGGAAGGAGAAGAAACCCATTTTCTTCTTCTTCTGCTGCAGCTTCTTCTCGTTCAAATTCTTCCAAAGAAAGCGAGAGAGAAAAATGGAGTTTTCCTGGAAAATTTAGCTCAAAGCTATCGTTACTCTCCTATTAAACTCTGAACATAGAGAGAGAGAGAGAGAGAGGGAGGTCGTTGGGCGTTTTATGGGTCAATTTATGGAAATCTCTGAGGCAAAAGCGAGAGATGGGAATATTTCTGAGCTATGAGATGGAAAATTATTTTCTTTTCTTTTTCTTTTTCTAGAATGCCAAACAAATATTTAAAAGGGATTTTCTCGACGAATTAAAAAAAAAAAAAAAAAAAGAGAGAAAGAAGAAAGAGAAGCGTGCCACCCACTCAGTGAGTCGCTGGTAAATGGTTTGTTGCGTGCAATACGGTGGATTTTGAACGCGTCGCTTGTCGTTCCATTTGATTTTTTTTTTCTTTCTTTTTACCTTTTTTTCAGCATCTCCATTTGAATCCAACTTTTCAATAAGGTGTGAGTTATTATCTTTTTTATTAGTTAATATAATAATTTTTTAAACCCCTATTAATAAAAGAATTACAAACCATATAAATTGAGACTTTTTCCGAAAGGCCTTTTTATTAGTACACCAATTTTTGATTATTGAATGTAATCAAACTCACAGTAAATTAAAAAATTATACATAATAAATAATTTTTAATACATATTAATCGTTAAAAATAAAGAATTATTAATTTATTTTTTTCAGTCCTATCAAGAAGAGGTGGAAGTAGCGTTTAATTCATAAATTTATTTTTTCTAGTCTTACCATTAAGTGGTAAAGCTAGCCTTTAATCTAGGGGAGTAAATGCTATACTTTTTTTTTTTTGAAAAATAAATAACATGAAAAAGTATTAAAAAAATTATAATATTGTAATTTTCAAAAACTACTAAATACATATAGGTCTCGTTCATTTCACTAATTTGAGTTTATAATTTAAGTTTTATTACAATAAAAAGCTCTCAGAAATAATTACATCTAACTTTTTTATTACAGTAAAAAGCTTACATAAAATTAAATTCTAACTCAAATTAATAACTCGAATCAACGAACTAAACGGGCTCATAAAAAATTTTACAATAGAAAAAAAGCCAAGTTATTAACACAAATGGTTCTCAACATCTTTTATAAGTGACAATTTAATCCCTAATTTTTTTTTTTGAATAAAATGACCCCTAACCTCTTTAAATAAGTGTAATTTAGTCCTTTCTGTTAATATATGTTAAATTCTTCAAGAAAATTGCACGTGCCGCTCAATGACTTTCTAATACGGACATATTGGTAAAAAGTCCTATTAATTGAATTTTCTTTCTTTTTTCTTCGTTTTTTTTTTCTCAGCAACCAAACAAATCAACAATTCTTACATTAAGCCCAACTGAGTTCTTCTCGCCATCCAATCACAGGAATTGCAAGGCTTCTCCTGCGATCATTTCCGCATGTTTGAGTTCAAGGTCCGGCGTTGCGCGCGCAGGAGGTCTCATGACTGGATAGAGTGCCCCTTCGCCCACCCCGGGGAGAAGGCCTGCCGAAGAGATCCATAGAAGCGCCACTCCGACACTGCCTGCGCTGAGTTCTGAAAAGGAGATTCCTGTGAGTTTGCCACCGCCACCGCCTTCTTAGTCTTCGCCTTCCTGCACTTTCTCGAGCCGGCGCCGGCGACGGCGGAGGACTGGGCGGCCGAGGTGGAGATTGGGATTTCGCGACAGCACTGATTGGAGGAGGAAATTTGAATAAGAATAGAATAAGAATAAGATGAATTTAAAATTTGAAATTAGGAGAGAGAGAAGAAAGAAGATCGGTGATGATGACCTCAGTGTCGAGATTGGAGGAGGAAATGGAAGAGTTGGTGGGAGAGGAAGGTGGAGGAAGGATCGTTTACTAGATCTAGCATTTCTCAGTTTCTGTAGAAGCTGAGGTTTTGGGGGAAGTTTTAGAGAGAGAGAGACAGAAGCGTTTTGTTGTTGTGGTTGATGAAGTATGAATGATGCTGGTATTATTTGTGTTTGTTCTTTGCTTTGAAGGTTGTAATGTAGAAGATTGAGAAAGACAGCTTTTGGTTTCGGAGAAATTACTTGATGGCTGATGTTGCTTTTATTGTTGTTGTTGCTGTCTTCCATCGTCGGCGACGGGAGCCTGACGGCGGTTGGGGAGATTTAGGGTTTAAGAAGAAGAAGAAGAAGAAAAGTTTCTCTTACGGAGGCATTTAAGTCATTTTATTGAAATAAGGGTCACATGATGGGTTACGTGACACGTTCTGTGAAGAATTTAATAGGTGTTAACAAAAAGGATCAAATTACACCTATTTAAAAAGGTTGGTGATTGTTTTGTAAAAAAAAAAAAAAATTTAAGAATTAAAATGTCACTTATTAAAGAGGTTGAAGACCATTTGTGTCAATAACTCAAAAAGCTAATTGATACGGCTTTATCTTAAAACGCCATATTTATATTTATATATCCGATTATTAGTTTTAGGTCATTTTTATTTTAATGTAATTAATTTTGATTAGATTGATAAGGATATCATACTATAGTTTTTTTTTTTTTTTTTTCATTTTATACGTAAAATGGTATAAATCACACAACATATTTTGGGGCTAACTATATTTAGGTATTGTTCATTTTACCGATTCGAGTTTTTAATTTTAAGTTTCTACAGTAAAAAGCTCTCAAAAAATATCACATCTAATTTTTTCTACTACAATGAAAAGATCTCAAAAAATGTCACATTTCAGCTCGAACTGAAAACTCAAATTCGTGAAGTGAACGAGATCTTATACTTTTAAAGTTCTTAATTTATGCGAACTTCTTTTCATTGATATTAATTTTGACCACTTAATGACCTAAATGTCATCAATTAAACTTTTTTGAAAAGAAAGGGAAAAATGGTATAATATGAGAATATATATAGGTTTTTTTTTATAGTGAAAATCAACTTTTGACCGAAAAAGGTAAGTAATTTATATGAATTTGAAATGTATAAATTATACAGTTAATACATAATTTTTTCAGTAGTCTGTCTTACCAGTAGTCTCCGTTTTGACTGTTACATCTTGTCAAAATCACATCAGATTGAAAAAGTATTCATAACAGATATATTCTTATACTGATTTAACGGTTGAAATGTAAGAAATTACTAGTAGTCTATTTTTCAAGGACTACGAGTGAAACTTTCTTAAAGTGTATATTTTTAAATTTAAAATGTAAGGTAAAAAGGAAAAAAAATCATATGTATAAAAAGCTCCTATATATATATTATATTATAATAAATATTGTCATGTATATCATAATAAATATTGTCATGAGTAAAAGGAGTAAAGTTGTATAAAAAAATGTAGAAATGAAATTAAAAAAAAATTGTGGGGGCTGAATGAAAAAATAAAATTTTAAAGGGGGGAAATTAAAAAGTTTAAGTTTTTAAAAGAGTCATATTTTATTTTTTAAAAGATCAATGGGGGCAGTCCTTTAACAGTTTCGCAATTGTCGACTAGTGAAACTCTAAAATTATTATTTAAAAGTTGATATTAGAGCCATTTGAGGTCGAATAGGGACAGCCGTCCCCATTGAGTTTTTTTTCCCCTTTAATGATAAAATTTATGATTGTTCAAGTTTTGATCCACTGGTATGCAATTTTTTACATGTATGCTACATTAAACTTCACTTGTTTTTTTGTATTTGTATGCTTCAAGGAAAAAAACTGCATTCAACTTGTTGGGTAGATTTAAACGATAGTTTAAACCTTTTAATTATAGTGTTTTTTTTTTTGTATAAAAATATAAATTTTTATTTAAATATATAACTCAAACGAGTCATATATATATATATATATATACTCCACTGAACTAGAAGCGTGGTCAGTTAGAGTGCATGGCTGACAACTTTGTTCTTATCAAATATTAAATATATATTTTGTTTTGGTTTATTTTCACAGGTATTATATATTGATACTATGAGTCCAAATTAACTTTTATCAAAATTTAATTCCATTCCAATGACTGATAATTAACGTTAATTTCATTTTTCAAACAAATATTAAAATTGGAAAAGAAATCACTTATTCTACTTCTGAATTTTATTAGATTCTAACTTTAATGTCATTCTATCAAACTAAATTTCACCACAATCTCCATTCTCCGACTTGCATTTGAGGTTTGAGATTAACCATACTTACTGATTCTCTAAACATACGATTTAAACTTCTGAACCCAAAATCTAATGGGCTCTCAAGATCAAATATCTCTTTTAGAAAATTGTAGTAGGTCAACCTTTAAAAAGGTTTGACAGTAAATAGTAAATTTAGATTTCATTAAAAATTACCATGTAAATACTAATACCAATTGTCTATTTGAGATAAAAAAATATGATATGACATGTTATTTCATTTGTATTCCAATGCGTAATACTATTTAAAATGCTAATTTTTTTTTTATAATTATTAAGCTTAAAAACCATAAAAGTAGACTTTTATTTTCTTTGAATAATTATAAAATACAAAAGTTACAATGATTACACTTGTAAAAGTAAACATCTCAACCAACAATAATCAAATGCTAAATTTGACGTGTGCTATGTTTGATGAGAAATTTACCACAAAGCATGACATATGGTAAATTTAGCACAACAATTATCATTGCATTGAAGAATATTTTTTTGCACTCAAATGCTAAATTTGTAATTACTTATTAAAAAAATATTACAATTAGCATATTGTTGATACCCGATTTTTTATCAGGCCCATTCAAGGGCAGGCCTAACTATGACGTCACGCGACATTATTGGGCTCGCTTCATGGACCCAAGCCACGCTCGGGGAACTCCCGTGTGTTGTGGTTTGGTGGGCCATGTGTGATCAAGTAGGCATGTTTGTCGTTTAATTCGATCCAATTTGAATCCCGCTAGGAGGTTTTCAGAATTAATCGAATTAAATACAAATAGGTGATGGAGAATTCTCAAAAAGCATTCCTCCTGTTCTTTTGGAAACCTAAAATTCCTCACTATCCATGGTAGGCATATTTCTCGGAGGATCCTCTTCATGTCCAAGTGTGCCTAACGGAGCCTTTTCCTTGTTAGTCATCCTTCCTTTGGATTTTTTTCTTACCCAATTCACCATCAGTGCAACCTTCGCTTGGAGCACGCTCATCCTTCAGAGTAGCTTCACCTGGAGCAGCCTTTGTCTGGAGCATGCTCACCGTCAGAACAACTTCATTCGGAGCTACTTTTATGTCATAGCCAACTTGACGGCTGCTTAGCCAATATCGTATAAACCATCTCTGACAAGGTCTGACATGCGATCAGACCTCCGAAAGAGGAAGTCAATGGAGCATGAAGTTGAGTCAAATACTCTTGAGAATCTCAGACCTTGGAACTCTTCACGTCAGCTTCAAATCAGGAGCTTTACCTCCAAGTCTTTCCATTTTTGGATATTTTCTTTGTCAATCCAGAAAGTCACATGATCACCTTGCTCCAAAGGGAATTGCGAGTGCAAGTCTCCGTTAGAGCACCACCGATTAGACTTCAGAGCAGCCACCATGAACCTCTATTTTCATTTCCATGCCAACTCTTTTTCAACCCCGGAAAGACTTCCGATGACTTTGCTTCATTTGGATCGCATATGCATGCTTCCTTCAAAGCGCCGCCAATTCACCCCTAGAGCAAGTTCCCAGAAGTCTTCATTCCATTTTTGGTTAATCTCCTCTTCAACTTTGGAAAGGTATCAGAGGGCTTTTCTCCATTAGGATTGCTTGTGCATGCATCCGTTAGAGCATGCCTTACGAACCTCCAGAATTGCCGCCAAAATCCTACCAATTTCACTTATAAATGCCCCTCATCTCCTTCATTTCGGGGGTGAATCCATCATCATCATTAGCCATTATCTTCATCCTCTTTAGATCTCTCTCTCTCCCTTCCTTCAGACTTCTATAATCTCTTGCTATAGAGACTTGAGGTTCTTCAAGCTCTTCAAAGTCCTTCAAAGCCTCCAAGTGTTGACAACCTTGAAAACCTTTCAAAACACTTTTTTGATCCATTTTCACCACCATCTTAAAACTTTTTGAAGTTTCTTCATACATTTTCCAGCAACGTTTAAGTCTTCATCTTCAGGGTCACTTTCATTTGTAACATCCGATCAAATTAATTAAGATTAATTAGTGTAATCCGGTTGTTAAGGTTAATTAATCTGATATTAGTAAAAGATTTTCAGTTAAAATGATCACATAAATGATTTTCTTCCTTTAAAAAAGATTGCTTTGGAATTGACGTTGTTGTCCCCTGAACATATTTAAAGTGTAAGCAGCTAATTTTTCAGAACAGAAATGATGGGCCATTTCATATTTTAGTTAGATTGGACTTTGAATTCTAGATAGTAAACTTGTACAGAGAGTCCAAGCCCATTTTTCCATTCTTGCTTTTTCCTTTTTTTTTTTCTTTTTCTTTTTCTTTTTCTTCCTTTTTCTTTCCTTTTTCTTTCCTTCACGGAGACATTTTCTTTCTCACTCTCATGGAGCTCTCTCTTCTACTTGAACTCTCTCTCTTCTTTTCCAAATTTTTTCTTCAATTTCAAAATTCCATATCTCACTCATTCTTGAGTGATTTTCATTTTTATGAATTCACAATGGAGAGGAGAACGAGATGACATCCAAATTGCATGTAAAAAATCCATCATGCCCGATAGCTCACCAGAGCTCCGCCGCCGCCCACGCTGTGAGCTGCCATTTTTGGCGGTGGAAGTCGACACTACATGATTCAAAATGTTGAGGACGACATCGGGATGCTAAGCCCTCAAGAAATTTTGAGGAAGGAGCTTCTATGTTTGAGGTAGGGGTTTTCTTCTTCTCCTTCAAATTTTGGATTTAAATTTGGTGATTTATTGTCTAGCTTTGTTTAGCTGGTGATTGATCAAAGGAAACTGTTGAGCACCTCTTGAAGTTATGAATTCTCTTTGATTTGGCAAAATTCCTAAATTTTGAGGATTGAGTTTCAAGAATTGAGTTTCATTGATGATAAAAGGCTTTGAACTTGGTTTATGGAGAAGTAATTGAATTACTTATGGATTTTAGTTTACAACCCTTGATTTGGTATACTGGATATGTAAAAAATTACTTTCCATGAGTTATTGGTGAAGGTGATTCAAAAATGCA